TCCGCAAAAGCTCTTTGTATGAAAACAAGCTGGGAAGAAAAGCATTTACGTTCAAATTATCTCAGTATTGGCAGGTTGGGCGTGGGAGTAGCCCATTGTTCGGGGTACCCGGACTATGAAACTGAGGATTCATTGTTCGCAACCAATTGCGTGGAACACGTGCTCCGCACTTTCGGGTTGTGGGTAAACTATAATAAAACGAAGAGCTTATAAGACAGAGAGAAAGAGCATTCTCTCATTGAAAGTTTATACATCGAAAATTATCTCAGATAAAAGCAGTTACTAAACATTAACTCAAAGAAACATATCAACACTTTAGATATCTGTGTATGAAATTATGATATTATAGCTACACTCGGACTATACTTATGATTCCGTTGATTATATAGAGATCGATGTCTCCTCATATAATATCCACTACGATAAAACTTGAGACAACTGGAACTTTGCAAAATATTGTCACTTGGCTTTAGTTATATTAAAACACGATTCGAAAAAACAAAAAGAACAAAGAAACGAAAATGAGACTGTTGAAGTTAGTATTCGTAATACACACGTTCATAGATTTCAGGTAATTCACTGTACTCTAATAAATCAGAATGTACTCCATCCACTTAGCTCTGTAAACATTCAATATAACTAATTGACGAGGTCTCGATTAGGATAGTTTCTTTAATTTCTTATCCCGCTATCACAGTAATTACATGTTTTACTGCTTCTGCTAACCAATTCGTTTGATTAGCAAATGGAAAGTAGATGTACTCTTTCTTTGTGGTTTCACTGGATGTTTCAAAAAGAATTAAAGCCTTAGATCACATGAATTTATATTGGCATTAGAAATTCGAACCGGTGTTGTAAACAAAGTTTCAAACTCGTTTAGCTGTATACGTTGTTATTGATTCACCTGCGTGCAAACAGTTATACATCATATGGAGATAGATCAAAATTCAGTTGTTATTTGTATTTTTGTTAGCGTGATAGTTAAAAAGGTAAAATATGTGCACTAATATTTATTGAAATCTGAATAATTTTAGGTTAAAGGGAGACAAAGATAAATTTTAATTCTTCCTAGCAACAAATCAGTAAGCTTCTTAAACTTGTGTATTCAAACGCACGGTGTTAATAGAGAAGAATGAAAAACGTAGACCACCACTACTTATATATACATATTAGCTACTTGAGAATAATCAAGTTAATAACCTGCAACTAACTCTTACAAAATGGCTATCCGTATGTCTATTTGCTTGTTTCAGATCTTCACGCATGGCTACACAACAGCTATCCATGCTAGCCGTCCCTAATTCTGAATAATAGACTAGATGGAAGGCAAGTAGTCAATATGTGTGTTTGTTTTTGAATTTCGCTAGCCGTCCCTAATTTAGCAGCGAAAAACTAGAGGAAAAGCAGCTAGTCATTACCACCCACCGTCAACTCTTGGACTACTTTTTTACTAACGAATAGTGGGATTTACCATACCATTATAGCGCCCAGACGGCTGAAAGGGAGAGCATATTTGATGTGACGGGGATTCGAACCTGCTACCTTGAGATAGCGAGTTAAGCACCCTAACCACCTGACCATGCCAGGCCGACTTGTCAATAGCCAACACAAATCGAATAATGGAATTTGACCAACACTCTGTAACATACCCATTTCCTCAAAATGAGGAACACGATATTAGTTTATCAGTAACAGACTATCGGATCTACAGAGTGGCACGCTAACTACTAGGCCACGCTTGGCTTCTATTTTAGTGAAGAAATGTTAATGACATGATATATCTTACCTTCTTTGTCTTCAAAGTAAAAAAAAAAAAAAAAAAATGTGTAAAAGAGAATAACAAACAAGTTTGAAATAAATATACAAATAATCTCTTGCGACTAGACAGTATTTTCACATTTGTTTGTTTGTTTGAAATTAAGCACAAAGCTATCGGTGCTTTGCCCATTACGATCATCGAAACCCGGTTTCTAGCGTTGTAAGTCCGCAGACACACTGCTGTGGCACTAGGAGAGGGGGTTAGTAATTTCACATTTAGTAGACCATCACATCGTTTTACGCTGTGCGATAGTCTGAGACATTTTTTTTTTTACATCAGATGGTACATTAATCATCTTCATCCTTAATAATAAAACAAGAGCAAGCAAACTTTATATCAAAAACATTGGAAAAGTTTCCAAGTACATAAATTAGGTTTGGTCTATAATTAAATGTTCGTTACTGAAGGCAGGCGTGTATTAGTATTACAATCTTTTTCAATTTAATGAACAAAAGTATCTTCTATTGCATAATGATTGTTAATTATAACGGCGGGTTCTTCCAATTATTAATAGGAGCATTCATGGTCTGCAAAAAGAAACATAGTTATAAAATTATTTTGCCCAAGTTTCTTTTGTTTCCCATTGCATAAAAGAAATACCAATTGCAAAAATTCGCTACGAAAATCAGTTTGTCTCTGAAATATAAAGACTTTACTTATTTTATTAAAACATTGTCTGTTTGTAGTTAAACATAAGGCTACACAATGGGATATCTATGCCATGTGTGACGGATTTATTATTATATATTTATTTTAATATCGATATTTGTTTATATTCAATTTATACATTGTTTACGAAAACATTGCCTAACGTCATCGATGTAAACTCGACCTGTAATCGGCTTGTGATCAGCAAGAACTACAGGGCTAGCTAGCTCCCTATTAAGTGAATTATACCTACATCAACTCGAAATTAACTTGCTCATCGTCAACCGTCGATAAGATATCAACGAAGTTCCAGACTAGAAAGAAGACTTTATGTTGCTTGTAAGTTTGTGAAACTTTTGTATATAAATCATTGTTTGTAATAGCTATTTGTAATAACTGTTATTGTAAATTGTATTGTTGTTTGTATATTAAACATATTTGTGTTAAAAAGAAAACTGTGTGTATCAATCATGTTGGCAAATATCATAAATTGGAGATATATCGGCATATATTTAACTACTAAATTTAAATTATCATTTAGCTTGGTATCAGATCATTTGGATTTGTAAAATGTAACACATATCCACCACGTGTATCTAAACCATCTTTTAGAATTATAAGCCTACAAGTTTACCACTGTGCCACTGGTGTGTGTTAAACCATGGAATAATACTTGTGGTCGGAATATGGTTCAAGTATAGACTATCGTTGTAGTGGTTAAAAATCATTAAGAATATGTTTGTTTCACTAAATGTGAGGGCATAAATTGGGCTTCATGATTTTCAGATCAAGTAACCATGGTTAACCTGAAATAAAGAGCGTTTCTTCAGGTATAAAATTATATCGAATTTGTTTTCGAATTATTAAACTGAAGACAATTTTTTGGCAATAATTATTTATCACTATTTAAAAAAAAAGTATTCAGGGTTATATCAAAATCTATTCGTATATGTTTTGCTATGGCGAAAAAGCGATGCCGAAACATTTATTAATACACTAAGGTTTTTTGGTTTGTTGGAAAGTAAAATTTTTAGCGTTGGAAACCCACTAATTTGCCGCTGAGCCATCGGTTCTTTAAGAAGCTATCACTTAAAATATATGTAGAAAGCTGACGATTAAAGTTGGTTATTGACGTTATAAAACGTGCAGGGTCAATTTATTGGAACATTCTTGTAAGCCATTAGGTCAGATAAATCACGTAAATTAAGGGTAAGGTATACATTATAGTTTAGTAATCTAGTTTTTAAAATTGCCTATAAAATAGTATGCACAGCCTCTGTAATAAAATATAATTAATGTCATTGTTTATAATTATTTTAAAAGATATGTCAGCATAATAAAATTTTACTGTCTTAAATGAAGAACATCTTTAAAATTAAAATAACATTAATTATTAATTGAAAGATCTTCCTTCATAGGTGACTCACTAAGTATATGATAAGTCTCACTTTTTGCTTCATAACAAAAAGTTGCTTTTAGTTGTCATTTACACATAAATGTTTTGTTTGTTTTGAATTTCGCGCAAAGCTACACGAGG